AATACTTTAAACATGAATGGATGTTGGATTTTGTCAAATGCTTTTTTAGCATCTAAGGTGATTATCATGTGTTTTTTTTCTTTCAGTTTGTTAATATGGTGGATCACATTGATGGAGTTCCATATATTGAACCATCTCTGCATTCGTGGGATGAAGCCTACTTGGTCATAGTGGATGATATCTTTGATGTATTCTTGTATTCGGTTTGCAAGTATTTTGTTGAGTATTTTTGCATCAATGTTCATAAGGGAGACTGGCCTAATAGTCTCTTTCTTTGTTGAGTCTTTGTGAGTTTTAGGTACCAATGTGACTGTGGCTTCATAGAATGAGTTTGGTAGTGTTCCTTCTGTTTCTATTTTGTGGAATAGTTTGAAGAGAACTGGAGTTAGGTCTTCTTTGAAGGTCTGGTAGAATTCTGCGCTGAAACCATCTGGTTTGTAATTTTTGGGTTTCAGTTGTATATTCATCTGCCCTTGGTATCAGAGTAAAGACTTGCTTTATTGAAAGAGCCTGGTGCTATTCCTTTTTTTCTGTTTTATGAATTACTTTTTTTGAGAAATATTGTTTTTCTTTGATACAATTTAGTAGAGAATCCTTGAAGACTTGGGCTTTTTAAATTTTATTCTGGAGGTTTTAAAATTACTAATTTTTATAGATGTGTTTAAATTATCTTCGTTTAAGTTGTTAGATCATATGCATCTCCAATTTTATCTATTTCAGTTTTTTAATTTAATGAAATATGTTTTAAGGAAAGTTTTCATTTTCCTCCAATTATGGCAGATTGCTTTCTTAGGTATTGCATTCTGGGCTGACAGTTGTCTTTCAGGTTTTGAAATATATCTCTCCAGATTCTTCTGTCTTGTGCAGTAATATTTGAATAAGTTGCTGTTATTCTGATGAGCCGATCTTTATATGAGACTTGATTTTTTTCTGCTTTTTAATATGCTCTTTGTCTCCTATTTAATGTTTTAATTATAGTTTGATTAGTTCTTTTTCTAATCATTTTTCTTTGTAATATTGAATATCTCCTGTATATACATTGGCATTTCCTTTCCTAACTGAGACATTTTCTGTTAGGAATTTATAAAACAATATTTTCTATGCCTACAACTAGATTTTATTTACTCTTCTATGCCTCTTATCCATAGTACTGATTTCTTTAGAGTAAACCATCTTTTTTGAAATTCCCATGAATTAATCTTTAATCTCTATCATTTAATCTTTAATCACTTAATCTTTATCCTTATCTGATTGCTCCAGTTCATCTATCATGTCTTCAAATATTCTCTCTTCTCCATTATCCATCTTATTGTTGAAACTTTGTAGGAAGATTTTAAATTGACCTAAGTTTTTCATTTCTAGGATTCCATATTGATTTTTAAAATTCTCTTTGTTGAATTCCCTTTTTATACATTTAATTGTTTTCCTATTCCATTCAGATGTTTTATGTTCTCAATCAGTCACTGTTTTTTTTTTTTTTCCTTTCCTTTTTTTTTGCCATACTTTTAGAAATTCTTTGTAGTTTTTGTCTGAGGTTTCATGTAATTCACTCTAAGTTGATGCCATTGTGGTAATGTGTTTGGTAAAAGTTGTTTTGTCTTGGTTTTTAATTTTTCTTATATATCTGAGATATTTGTTTATTTAGTTTAGTTTTTATCATCTAGATTCTTTCAATTAACGTATTTGCAATATTCACTTGGACTTGAATGTGGTAGAGTCAGTGTGTAATTCAGAAAATATTTTCTCACTCCTGAAGCACAAAGGTGCTTGATAGAAAACCTATATTATTATTGCCTATGTGGGATATAATTATGAGACCAACTACAGATTCTTGATAATCCTGCTATCCAAATTTTGTATTAGCCACCTGATAACCAAGTATTGCATAGGGTATATTCAGATTTTCTTTAGTAACATTAGAAGTGAGCAGGAAGCACTGAGAGTAAAGATAAGGATTAAGGATTAGATCCTGGTGAATAAAGCTGCCTGGCTTGGAACTGTGGGACACTGAAAATCCTATTCTGGCTCTGCAGGTGTGTGTTTGTAAGTAACATCACTAATTCTTAGGTTTTGCTTTTCTCTCCTGGGCAGCTGTAACAGGAGGACAGACATTTCCCTAGTTCCCTATTTCTCTAGGGGCTGTCTCTGACATGGACTCTTTTGGTTACTGTTTGATCACTTACCCCTGGTCGTGGTGGTGGTGGTGGTGGTGGTGGTGGGGAGCCTTACCAGACTATAGAGGAAGATGCAGGCAGTCCAAATGAGATTTGATAAGCTGGGGTCAGATGGTAGGGGAGGAGAGCTACTCCTTTTTGAGGAATAGTGGAAGGGTATGGGAGGAGGAAGGAGGTATGATGAGGAGGAGACAAGGGAGGGAGCTACCATTGGGATGTAAGGTGAATATAAGAAATAAAGTTAAATAAAAAGTTTGGTATGATAGAGCATCTGTTGGGTGTATGCCCAGGAATGGTATTGCTGGGTATTGAGGTAGAGCTCTTTCCATAACCTCAGTCTTAAATATTGGAAAAAAAATTTGTTTTTTATCCAGTGGTAGCTAATGTATATTTGTACATTTAAAACAAGAAACAAAGAAGGCTATAACTATCATTTTCTTAATAATTAAGTAATTAATCTCATTTAAATCTAACAATTTCATTCTGTAATTTATTTTACGTCTAATAATAAACTTTTGGTAATTTTAACAATTTGTTTCAAGTTCTTGAATTTTATAGCATGAAGTGTTTTTTTCTTTGTTTGTTTTAATTTCTGAAAACAGGTTTCAAGATGGCAGCAAAACCATACAATGGAAAAAAAAAAGATAGCATCTTCAACAAATGGTGCTAGTCTAACTGGATGTCTACATGTAGAAAAATGCAAATAGCAGAGGAGGACATTGCAGCCAGTCCTGAAGATACCTGATAAGCTAGGGTCAGATGGAAGGGGAGGAGAACCTCCCCTAGTAGTGAACTTGGAAAGGGGCAGGGAGGAGATGAGGGAGCGAGGGTGGGGTTGGGTGGGAATGAGGGAGGGGACTACAGGTGGATACAAATTTAATAAACTGTAACTAATATTTAAAAAAATAAAAATTCAATTAAAGAAAAATGCAAATAGATCCATATTTATCACCCTGCACAAAGGTAAAGTCCAGGTGTATCAAAGACCTCAACAGACACACTAAATCTGTTAGAAGAAAAAGTGGGGAAGAGTCTTGAACTCATTGGCAAGGAACTCCTGAACAGAACAGCAAGAGCTCAGGCTCTAAGATCAGCAATCAATAAATGGGACTTCATGAAACTAAAATGCTTCTGTAAGCAGAAGACACAGTCAACAGAACAAAAGGACAACCTACAGACTGGGAAAAGAGCTTCACCAACCCTACATCTGACAGAGGGCTAATATCCAGATTATATAAAGAAGTTAAACACCAACACGCCAAATAATCAAATAAAAATGGGGTACAGAGGTAAACAGAGAATTTTCAATAGGGGAATATCGATTGGCAAAGAAATGCCCAACTTTCTTAGTCATTGGGGAAATGCAAATCATAACAACTCTGAGATTCCATCTTATACCCATCAGAATGGCTAAGGCCAAAAACTCAAGTGACAACACATGCTGGAGAGGATGTGGAAAAAGAGGAACTCTCCTCTTGTTGGTAGGAGTGCAAACTTGTACAACAACTTTGGAAATCAATCTGGCGCTTTTTTTCAGAAAACTGGGAATAGTCTACCTCAAGACCCAGCTATACCACTTCTGGGCATATATCTGAAAAATGCTCCACCATATAACAAGGACATTTGCTTAACTATGTTTATAGCAGCTTTATTCGTAATAGCCAGAATCTGGAAACAACCCAGATATCCCTCAACTGAAGAATGGATGCAGAAATTGTACATTTATACAGCTATTAAAAACAAGGAAATCCTGAAAATTTCTGGCAAATGGATGCAACTAGAAAATATCATCTTGAGTGAGGTAACCCAGAAGCTGAAAGACAAGCAAGGTATATATTCACTAATAAGTGGATGTTAGCCATATAATAAAGGACAACCATACTAAAATCTACAGACCTAAAGAAGCTAAACAAGGAGGATCCTAGGAAAGATGCTTAATTCTCATTCTGAAGGGAAGACAGGATACACACCAGAAGCAGTAGAAGAAAGGGAGCAGGATGGGATCTTACAACAGATGTCCTCTAAAAGACTCCACCCAGCAGGAGATCAGAGCTGCAGAGACTCACAGCCAACTTTAGACAGAGCACAGGGAGTCTTATAGAAGAAGGGAGAGATCCAAGGACTAGGAGAAGACAGGAGCCCCACAAGGAAACCAACAATGCCATAAAAGCTGGGCCCCGGGGTTCTACAGAGACCCAAATACCATACACATGACCTAGATCCCCTGTGCAGATGTATCCCATAGCCAGCTCAGTCTCCATGTGGGTTCCCTAGTAAGGCAAGAAAAATCAGTCTCTGACAGGAACTCAGTTGCCTGCTGCTTGATCACTTCTCCTTGTGGGGCGACCCAGCCAGCCCACAGAAGAAGAGGATCTAGACAGTCCTGATGGGACCTGATAGGCTAGGGTCAGACAGTAGGGGAAGAGGACCTCAGTGGACTAGGGGCAAGGGGATAGGGGAGGAAGAGGGAAGAAAGTTGAGACTGGGAGGTGGTGAGGAGGGGGCTACAAGTGGGATACAAAATGAGTAAATTGTAAAAAATAATAAAAAGAAAAAGGTTTCTGAAAGCTATAGTACAAGTTACTGCTTTTTGTAACTTTTTTTTCATCTATAGTTCTTCAAAATTTGCCTTGCTTTTTTTTTATTTTGTAACTATTTTAAAGTTGATATTTAAAAATATTCACATTTTATTATTACGGAAAAATCTAAATATAGTTTTACTAAGAATATTGTTAGCTTTTCCCCTGCATCTTATAAAATAAATATAATACACTTCTGTTTATCCTTCATGCTTATTATGTTGTAATACAAGTGTTCTAATTTTAGGCCCTTGAAAACAATTTAATTGAAGCTCAGGAAGAAATTGCATTATCACAGAGTAAATACGATGCTCTGTCACTACAGTTGAATAACAAAGAGACTGAACTTCTCCAAAAAGATACGGACATCACATTGGTCAGGCAAGTTGTAAAGGTTTGAATTTCATTAGAATATTATTAGTCATTCAGCATGGCTATGTTTATTTTTAATACTTTCAAATGGTAACAGTATGTCTTCTGTAGGTACATATGTTTGTGCAATGAAAATTTGCTAAACTGGCTCTAGAACAGAGTGTTCAGTCATTGTTTCCTGCACTTTTCCTCTGAATATGTACAGTGAATCTTTCTTAATTCTAAAAACTAGAATTATTTATTTTGCTTATCTGTTTGTCAAAATGACAGGAACAACTTAGGGGAAGGAAAATTTATTTTCACACCCAGTTTCACAGGGAAAGAGTGGTGGCGTTAATGATGGCATTTGAGAATGAGCAGTTCTTCTTTGTGGTGGCTGCAATATGAGGTAGTTTGCTCACACCTCTGTCTCTTACTGGGAAACAGAAAGAAAGCCAGACTGGACCTGAAACTGGGGTATAGCCTGCCTACCCTATCCCTATGGTCCATGGCTACACCAGCCATCCCCATGTCTAGAATGGCCTGTAACATCACAAAATAGTGCCACGAGCTAGGAAACAACTGTTCTAGCACAGAAGTTTGTGAAGAACATTTCACAATCAGACTATAATGCAAACCCATATGTTTTTAATAAATCCTGTTTATTTTCCCTTTCATTTTCATATAAAAACAGGTCAATACAAATTCCTTCCTTCCTAGTGATCCATAGGTATTTTTCCTTATTTTTAAATTTTTTATTTAGGAAGAGAGGAAGAGAGACTGATTGATAGCTTGATTGGAGATTGTGTGTTTGTGTGTGTGGTAATACCCCTTCACTAGGTTATTCCATGCTTTCTAACAGAGTCGCTGTAAAGTAGTATATGAGTTTGGACAAAAATGCACCCTTCTTCACATTGACATTTGACCTTCCAGTGTCTCAGTGTCTCCCTTCTCTATATTGTGTGACTGTATTTGTTATGACTGAAGGTACATAGATTTTGCATCTTAATGTAAATTTTATATAGATCAACTTTTGCTCTCTTATTAAGATATTTAGATGATACATTTTAATATTGGAGGATAAATAAGTTTTTATTTTATTTTGTTCCTGTTCCTGTTTAACTTCACGGTGCCCTTTTACATGCAGCACTAACTGACATAAGTCTCTTGGCCAACAGGCTCTCCCTATCCACAGTGGACATACTATTGTTTATTTCCTTTGCTGAAACTTCTGATTTCCTAATAGAAAGTAGCACAGTCCGAATGGATGTCTACTGTGTATCTTTCTTTATCATTTTTCCTAGAGGCACTTTACAGTTTCTTATTCTCTCCTCCTCAAAGTTTGAAGTGTGATTTTACGTGTTTCCCCTTTTAGTAGTCATAGGAAGATAGACTATGCACATGTATTTCTCTGCTTGGATGTAGAGTTTATAAATACGGTTAAGAACATTCTTGCCTTAAATTTCTAAGAAGCTGAGCTCTGTATTAGGTTTCATCAGTCTTCAACAACTACATATTTCTTTAAAGTATTTTCATGTATAAATCACCAGTTTGAAACTATAGATTAAAAATAAATACCACCTAAACTGCAATCTCTGAAGCATATAAAATAAAATGTATTTTGCTGACATAGTTTGTTAAAAATAAAAAACATGTTTTTTAACAAACTAAGTGATAGAGCCTCAAATAATTTCTATAAATATTCTTCCTGTTAAAATAAAATATCCAAATAATTTCTAGTTTTTTTATGGTTCATGTTGCACAAGATTTCTTACTATAAGAATCTGGAAGTTTCTGCCCCAGAGGTATTGTTCTCCTGAGTCCTTAGTGTCATAATTACTCAACTAGGTTATTTATCTTCTGACTTTACCACTGTTCACCTGTTTTATTTTGTTTTGTTTTGTTTTTTTTCCAAGGATTGGGATTGGGTTGCCTTGTATTGTTTTCCTTACTTCTGACTTTGTTGCCTTACCATCTTACACATCATCTCCACAGGACAGTTTGAAAACTTTGTTAGCCTCTTCAGGATTTTTTATTTTTTTCACAAGTCCATTATTATGTAAAATGAAAGCTTAACTTACCTTATATTTTAAACTATCTGATGACTATACTTAGGACCAGTGCTTATCAGTTTTTTAACTTAATTTCAATGAGAAGGTGTTTCTATGACAATATATCTAGAATTTTTATTTCTATCAAGCTATAAAAGAAAATTGATAAGTATTTGCCTCTGAAAGTCATAGTAGTTCTGTCAATACTTTCTAGGTGTATGTGATAAATATTAAATACTTTATATATTATTTCATTTATTATAAGTTTGCCTGCAATAAAAAAAATAATGGATGAAACTAGGAAGCGAATCTATACTCTTAGATGCACACAACTGTGCAACTGAGGTGGTCTTTATTCGTGCTTCTCTCTCTTTACTGCTTGCTTTGCACAGGAAGGAACTGCAGGAGCTGCAGAATCGGTATAAGCAGAACAGCGCACATACAGCGCAGCAAGCGGAACTGATCCAGCAGCTCCAGGTTCTGAACATGGACACACAGAAAGTGCTCAAGAACCAGGAAGATGTTCACACAGCTGAAAGCATATCATACCAAAAAGTATGCTGCTATTGTGTGGTGAAAATGTAAAGTTCTATTTATGAACTTTAAACAGATTTCAAGGTTTTAGAAATTTTGTATTATTCCCTTTTACATGATTTGACTTGTTAATATTCAAATTTTTGAGTTAGAATATGGTAAGTTGAAAATACAGATATAAAAACTTGTAAGTTGGAACTTGTATTTCTTCTGTGAAACATACTAGGTATAATAAGACTTTATTGTAAGAAATAACTGGAACAAGTATGATACTGCTGCATGACCTAAGGCAGACTTCATATAAAAATCTGCATTGTTTTATTCACAAAGGCGCACAGATACAAGGAGAGCACTGCTGTGGTCTTCCGGGTCGTTGATTTTCAAAGATTTTTCCCTTTATTTCTGAGTGTCTCTTTGGTAGTCATTTTACTCTGGGTATTTCCGGAGTCTCCAGCAAGGCTCACCTGGCTCTCTTCATTCTGCCCACTGACTCACAGCATCACTCTTTCTGCCATTAATTGAAAGAAGTGCATGTACTGAGCTTCTTATTTTGTACAATGTACTAAATTGTTTATATAAATAACATCATGGGAGTAGTACTCCTCTTTAATAGCTCAGACTCTGTAAGGCTGAAAAAAGTGAAGGGTGTTTTTATGTTTATTTTTTCTCTCTCGCAGTTCTGAGGGCAGCAGGTGGTAGCCGGAGTCTGTGGCTGTTCTCTAGTCAGTGCAGGTGGGCTAGGGTGATGGCCACAAATATGTTGTTTGCTTCGTCTCTGCATTTGTTGAGAGGCTTCTGGCTACTTGCTTGGAGTCAGTGCTGGTCACAAGTCTTTTCTGGGCCCAAAAGTTTCCTAGTTACTCTAGAGGCCACTGAATTTGTGTTTCTAGTAACAGCAAATTTCCAGGTTCACCAGTGTCCCCCAGATGCAATAGGGAGTATGTGTCGGTAAACACAAACTGAGTTGTGCATTGCAGGAGTTGAACCTGGGGAAGCAGGCATTCTTCTTGGTCCTGGTTGTGTTTTTTTTTTTTTTTTTTTTTTTTTTTTTTTTTTTTTTTTTTTTTTAGCATTTTCAGACCCTTTTCCATAAACTTATGGAAGGCAGGAAGCTGGGACAACCCAGTGCTCTGTCAGACCTGGGGTTAGAGTTCCAAGACCTGCTTGGAAGCAACTCACACATGGCAGGGATGTAGCTTCGGAAGTGGAGCAATCTCTGGCTACAGACTTACAGCTCTCAGCCTTCACAGTAATACACAGACAATGGGACATGTTCCCTCTGACAGAAGATGAGACCATTACCATTACAGTGTGAGCTCACTGATTTTGTTAATTACAAAATTTTTCCTTTTTTTTTTTCAATACAGGGTTTCTCTGTGTAGCCTTGGCTGTCCTGGACTTGCCTTGAAGAACAGTCTCAAAATCACAGAGATCTGCCTGCCTCTACTTCCCCTAGTGCTGGGATCACAGGCACGTGCCACTGTACCCAGCTTAATTACAAATTTTTATTGTTAATTTTTCAGACAATATATTTTGTTCATATTTCCTCTGCCCCCAGATTTTCTCAGATTCATTTCACCTCCCAATATCAAACCAAATATTCTACTTTTTCTCTCTCCCTCAAAACAAAACAAAACAAAGAACCCAAACCAAATGACCCCCCCCCCAAAAAAAAACCCATATAAACCAAAAAGCACATAAAAACACAAAACAAAACAAAAAAACCATGAACCAAAAAAAGTTCATTTTGTGTTGGGCACCTACTCCTGACTGACCTTGAGGCCTGCCTTGGAGGGTGGCTGTCACTTCAGTGGGCAAAATTGATTTTCACCTTTGCAGCAGGTATCGATTATAAGTGGCCCAATGGTTAGGAATAGGATTTTATGTTTGCTTCCCATTCTCTGCAGGGATTTTTGTCTGACTTCAGTTTGCGCAGGCCTTGTGCATGAAGCACTGTCTCTACGTTCACAAGTGCAATTAGCATTGTTGTGTTTGTAAGACATTGTTTCCTTAGAGTCATCCACTCTCTCTTATTACAACCTTACTGCTGTTCCTGAAGCCTTAAGGAAGGGATGTTTAACACACTTAACGAGCTGAGTGTTCCAAGATCTCTCATTGTCTACACATCGTCCATTCGTAGGTCTTTATGTTAATTATCATCTACTGCAAGAAGAATCTTCTCAGATCAGAATTGAATGAGCCATTGATCTCTGGGTACAATATCATTAGTGATTATTTTATTATTATGTTCATTTAGTAGGCTAATAGTACTAGGTTTTTCCTGTATACTTGACCTGTCTAGTCTCAGTTTCTGGGCCTTAGCGACAGTGACAGGGGTTAGTTATGTCTCATGAAGTGGATCTTAAATCTAATTTTAATAAGTGGTTGGTTAACCCAGTGACCTTTATGCCACTACTGCTCCAGTGTATCTTGTAGGTAGGTTGCTCTCCTGGGTCACAGGATTTGTTGCTGGGTGAGATTGATCATTTTTTTTCCCTTGGGTAGCGTACATTGTACATGCCATCACTCTGAACAATGGTCAGTAGGGGTGAAGCTTCCAGGTGAACACGAGCATGACTTCTCTAAGTGTGATGGCCTGGATATGCGTTCTCTCCAGCAAAATGACCTTGCTGTCCGGCTGTGGAGGGCAGGTGACAGCACTGGCCTGTAATGAGGAGCAGGCAGAGGGGGAGGAGTCCTGTCCAGTGATTCAAAAATACAGAACTCATTATGGTCCTGAAGATTTTGTTTTCTAGCGTATGATGTGTAGTAATGCCATTCTCTTTTCCTTATATGGAAAATCAATTCAAATTCATTTATTTATTTTAGAAAGCTAAAGTAGGTTTCCGTATGGATTTAAAAACTTTATTTTTTATTATCACTCCCCTATTTCTTCCTTTATCCTTCACTCCTATTCCACTCCACTATTTAATCCCTCTATTCTGGTTTACTCTTAGTCCATTTGTAAAACGATATTCTGTTTCTCCTGCCTTGAGTCCCTGTATACCTTCCCCAGTCCCTTATGAGCTACCCAAATCTGTGAATATTCAAAATGAAGCACATATGTCAAAGGTTAAAAGCTCTCATCCACATTTTTGAGAAATCTTGCAGTGACTTTCCCTTTGGGTCTGGGTCAACTCCCTCAGGGTGATTGTTTCTAGCTCCATTATTTACCTGCAAGTTTTATGTTTTTTAAGTGCTGAATAATATTTCAAGTGTAAATGTACAACATTTGATTATTCATTCATTCCTTGGACATCAGGACTTTTTTTTTTTTAAATTTCTGACTCTTCTGAAGAGAGTGAACTTGTTTGAGAAGGTATTTCTGTAATAGGATGTAGAGTCCTTTAGTATATGCTCAAGACTGGTATGTATGGATCTCGAGGTAGACCTAGTCCCAGCTTCCTGAACAACTACCACACTTATTTCCAAGTGGCTGCATACGTTTGTGATCCCTCCAGCAATGAATGTTTCCCTTTCCCTGCCTCCTTGACAGCATGCTCCACTGAGTCACTGGATCTGTCGCTGGTGACTGATCTGTATTTTCAGGTCCTGAGGACAGTTCCATCTTTGTCAAATGTAACACTAAGATAGGGGGTAGACACGATGGAGGTCATCTCCGGTGGTAACTTGCCACTGCCACACCAAATCTCCGTGCTGGATTTTAAACCTTTGAGACCTGTGACTGACAGAGTTCGGTAGACCTGTTGTCAGGGCTGCCTGGCCTACTCCGTGGTTATGACTTTATATCCTTCACCTGTGTCCCACCCTTCCAGTATCTTCCCCCTCTGCTTGCTTTGCCCCCTTTCCATCACTGTGCCTCCTCATTCCTTCTCACCCCAGCTGAGCTTGAGGTTATGAACTCAACCTTTGTCTTTCTGGTTTATTTTTTTATGCTTTTTAGCTGTCCTATAACTAACATATTAGTTTCCCTTACCTTTCCTCTTTCTCTCCTTGAAGTATATTCTGTTTTACTCTGACTGTTCTCATTCATGAGGTAGCACAGAGAAAACTGCTAAACTGCTGTCTTATTCCAGAAAGCAAACAACTGTTGCCCATGTATTTGTTTTTATGCCAGAATCTTGAAAAAATGTTTAATCACATCCAGGTTTTTGGACTTTTTCGGGACTGTTAGTAGAAATAAGGATATAAGTTGCAACAAAAAGAAAAAAAGAAAAAGAGAAGCTTTTCTAGATAGAGCTGCAAGGAATTTTGATTACCAGTAGAGGAAACATTTAGCTAACTCAGAATGCCATAACCAATATAGATGAATGAATTTAGTATATTAAGTAATTTACTCACTTGGGAACAATTTTTGGCATTTACCTGTGCCCAGGGAGTAAGGTAAGTACCCTTCCATGGAACTAGAATATTTAAACTCCTTGCAAGATCTTCTATGGAAATAAACACTCTATTGTCCTGATGCTTCATCATCGAAAGCACTTTAGAAATAAAGATAGACTTAAACTGTTTCATCTAAATTTGCTGGTGGATTGGTGCCTGGAATTAAATGTGACAATAGGGTTCTTCCTGCTTCCTGTACTCTTTCTACTTATTAATTTATTATTGAAAATAGGTTCTTCTCTTATACAGTACATTCTGACCACACTTTTCTCTCTTTCACCGCTCCTCCCAGCTCCCCTGCCACCTCCTGTCTTTCCAAGATCCCTCCATTTCCCTTCAGAAAAGAGCAAGTCTCCAAGAGATGACTGCCAAATAGGACAAAAAAAGATACAGCAAGACAAGGCAGAAGCCCTCATATAGAGGCAGGACAAGGCAACTTAGTAGGGGGGGAAGGGTTTTAAAAGCAGGCAAAGAGTCAGAGACAGATCTGCTCTCACTTCAAGAAATCCTACAAAAACAGTAAGCTATCTGCCATAGCATATATGAGCCTCTTTCTTTGCTAGTGTCTGGGTGTGTTCCCACTTTCTGAGTGGGCCTCAAGTTAAACAAACATTGATTGGCCACTCCCATAAGTTCCATGTCACCATTGTCCCAGCACGCCATCTTTCCGGCAGCATAGGATGTAGGTTGAAGGTTTTATGGCTAGGTTAGTGTCCAGATTTCTTTTTTGGTACACTACAGAGTACCTTCCCATACCAAAAAAACTAGGATGGAGGGTGAAGGGTCTTACTCAACCTCTTTACCTTTGGTTAGCTGTGTGGATGTAGTCCTGAGCAATGGGACTCCACTGTCAGTTTTCAGAGAGTAACCCTCTGTCCTAGCATCATCCTGGATTGTTTATGGTGACCCTCAATTCCAGGTATTTCTTCCCTTACTCTTTCCCTCTGCTCTGTCCTCCCCCCAACCCCTGCAAGCTGTTTCTTCCTGTTTCTATCCCTACCTGCCCCCAGGTTACCTGCAAAATCTATTCTATTTATCCTTCTCAGGGAGATCTTCCTCTCAGCCCTCCTCTTCACCTAATCTCTCTGAGTCTGTGGAGTTTTAGCCTGATTATCATTTACGTAACAGCTAATATTTACTTATAAGTGAGTACATTACAATATTTGTTTTTCTGGGTCTAGGCTACCTCACTCAGGATGATATTTTTCTCATGGCCATCCAGTTGCCTGTAAATTTCATGATATCATTTTTTTAATACCTGGGTAATACTCCATTCTGTAAATATGCCACATTTTCTTTATCCATTCATTAGTTGAATTATCTAGGCTATTTCCAGTTTCTGGCATATGCAAATGAATAGTGTTCGTGCTAGGAAGTGAGCAAAGTCAACCACAATCAGAAAAGAGCAGGCCAGCAAGAGGTGTGTCTATGGAATAAGATCCAAGGAATGTGTGCATCCCAGTTCCTAGAAGTAGCTGGTTTAGATCTTCCCTTCCAGTTCTCTGTTTAAGTTCTTGTTGCTCTGAGTACAAGTATTCACCACAAGACACAGTTGCTCCACCCAGTCAGACCAGCTGTAGCTGGGGGAACTTCCAAACAATGTAACTGAGCAATCACAATGAGAACAGCAGAAGAGTGCCATTGCTCTTCTACTTGGTGAAGCAAGAATGTGAGGCCAGAAGAGCTTAAAACAGAGGGCTTTTTCCTGGGTGACTAAACCCAGAGCTTTTGTGTGTAGAAAGAATGAGATTAAGAGGTGATAGCTGAGAGTAAGATACATCCCTTTACTTCTGCTAACTCCAGCCATCTCCCTGCAGTCTGGATGTAGTCTCTAGAGGTTGCTTTTACCCAGTCATGAGAGCATCTGTAGGTAGGTGATTATTGGGCCTATGCTGACCCTTGATTGTCCCTGCAAACTGTCAGTATTCTTATTTTCTTCTCAGACTGTCTAATAATGTAAGCTCTGGAAAGGTCTTTGGCGTATACCACTGTATAAAGGCACTGACAAAGGAAAACATAAACTGGTACTTTTAAATCTTTATGAATTCTATAGCTAAGCAAAAATTGCTTAAATTTTTCTGTGAAGTGATATGAATTAAATGTTTAAGTAGTTAAATATTTATAATAATAGATATCATTTATAGATCCCAAATATTTTGATTAATTATATTTTAGAACATTTTAAGGGCCTTATTTTCATGAAAAATTGTATATTTTCTGAAACTTTTAAAGAAAAGAGGATGCACATGCCTTCAAGCTTTAGAAATTAAATTATATCATATATACAGAAATATATAGCTGTCAGTATTAAATTAAAACTTACATTCCTGTGAATTTTTTGTATGCCAGTAAGTGAAGATATTCCATATCTTTAATTGGTTGAGCTAACTTAAAATACCACTCTATTAGCTATGTATTGTGATTTTTCTAATTGGAAGTTTTTGCTTTTGGTATATTAACAGTTGCTTTGGTTACTGTTTTTCTTTAAAATTTTTGGCTTTTGGATTACTTTCATAGTGCTTAATTTGGATTCCACATGTAAATCTGTCACCACAGTTGACACAGGCATTCCTGTGTGAGATGCTAATTATGCAGCACATACCTACACACAGTTAAAATAAACTCTAACTAGATTTAATGGAACAATTTGAGCTTATTTATTTATTTGTGCCTTTAGAGCACTGCTTTTATGTTATTATTTAATTCTAGATCTGTGCTCTCTGCCTTCTTCTGTGGAAGAGCTCCACTTTCCTGATATTTATTTATGTCTTTCTGTGCCTACGACCTGACTGCCTTACTTTGGCTCTTAGCTTTCCTTTTGGCTATCATTAGTAGTAGAAAATAATTGATACTAAATGAAAACACAGCAGTTAAATTTAAAGAATTCCCAATGAAATATGCAGTATGCTTCTATGTACGTTACTAACAAATTACAGAATTTTCCACATTTTTTTTTTTGGTGACATTTAGATGATTAAAAAAGATTGGGCCATTCTAGTAGAATTGTCATTGCTTATTTAAGAACTTTTCTTTTTCTTTTTTTTCTTTTTTTAACATGAAGCCCTGAAAGTACAAATATCTAGCTCAGAATCTGTTCTCTTCTTTAAATATTAACACTCTTATTGTCAGTTATCCTGGCCAATAACACATTTTACCTTTTGAATGCCAGATGTAGTTTCATATTGGTATTTACTGTATCACCTACACATTGTGTATGCTTATTGGCTATTAACTTAATGGCAGATATATGTTCATGTATGCTTTATTTATCTTTTATATATATAAATGCACATAGTTACTTTATTGATTATATATATTTTTTGGTTATTTTCAACAGCTTTATAATGAATTACATGTTTGTTTTGAAACTACAAAATCAAATGAAACTATGCTCCGGCAAAGTGTTGTTAATCTTCAGGACCAACTATTTCAAAAAGAACAGGAAAATGCAAAATTAAAAGAAAAACTTCAGGAATCACAAGGAACACCCTATCTATTACTTCAAGAAAGTGATTCAAACCATTTAGCAAAGGTGAGAAATTTTCTAAAGTATTATCCATGTAATACCAGAGTAATACATTTCTGCAGTTGAGTGAGAATAAAATAAACTTGTATATTCTTGAATGTATAATTTAACTTTTGCATTTTAACATTTTATATATTATTTATGGACATGAATGTATGGGTGGTACATATTAAAAGGAAATGCATGTAGAAATACCTAATATAACAAATATAGATGTCATGTGTCTATGCGTGTATGATGTGTGTATGTTTATACATGTGGAAACTAGAGGCTGATGTTATTTGTCCACATCTGTTACTCTCCTCCTTGCTTTTAGAGGCAGATTGCTAGTGAACATTATGTTCACTGTTTGGGCAAGACTGTTCTAGTCCCTGTGATCTCACTGTCTCTGCCATCCCAGTAATGTAGTTACAGATATGTCATGGTGTCTTTTTAAAAATTGGGTTTCGCGAAACTGATAATTAGATTTCCATGCTTCTGTGTCAAGCATTTTACTCGTTTTGATGGTTAGTGTTCATTGCCATCTTGACAGGCTTCTAGGCACACCCGCAAGGGATTATTTGACCATTGCTCATGACCATGAAGGAAGGCTATGTAGACTAGGTTATTGATGTGGGAAGACTACACTAAAGGGGGATGGCGTTATTTCTTGGGCTTTGGTTCTTTACTGTACAAACAGGAGAAACTAAGCTGGCACAGATACTGGTCATTTTGTGCTTTCTGATTTTGCATGCAATGTGACCAATGGTTTCAGACTTCTGATGCCCTGACTTCCCTTGGACTGTGAGTGGTTATTGTAGTGAAATATGTGGTTTTTGAAGAACAAATTAATAGGTCATGTCCAATTGAGACTCTAATGTAAATAATAAAGGGGGAAAAGTGTCTAATAGTTTGTCTCATAAAAATGTTTGCTATAAAGTGTGTTATATTAATTATCCTTAATTCATGTTAGTGTTAGCCTTTTCCTGATACTGCATTGACTTGGAATTTTGCATAGGTCATTTGACTAACCTACATATTCCTTATGTTAGAAAAATACCATGAACAGAACAGCAACACAGGGACCTAGCACACACAATAGTAGATACAGACACAAGACTCTGAGTTCACTTCAGGAATGAAAATTTTTCAAAAAATTTCCATTGCTGTTTACATATTATTTAGCTAAGCACTGAAGAACAGAGCTTGAGCAGTCTCTTGGACCCTTTTATCTGAGTTCTTCTTTGGTACTTCCCTGCCCTGATAGTTCCCCTGGATATTATTTTCTGCCTGAAACTTTCCCACAGTTAGTCAGAGTTAATGCCTGAGGACTATTGATGCTGGCTCTACTTTGAATGTCTGGTAGAATTCTGCTCTAAAACCATCTGGTCCTGGACTTTTTTGCTTTGGAGACATTTGATGACTGCTTCTATTTCCTTAGGGGTTATAGGACTATTTAAATAGTTTACCTGATCTTGATTTATCTTTGATAAGTAGTATTTATCTAGGATTTGTTCATTTTGTTTAGATTCTCCAATTTTGTGGAGTACAGTTTTTTGTAATAAGATCTAATGTTTCTTTGGATTTCCTTAGTGTCTGTTGTTATGTTCCCCTTTTCATTTGTATTTTGTTATTATTTACTATTTATGCTCCTTTTTGTTTCTTTTGTCTTACTGTGTTAGCTAAGAATTCAAACACCGTATTGACTAAAAGTGGAGAAAATAGACACTCCTTTTTGGATCTTAGTTGGAATTCTTTGAATTCTCCCATTAGCATGATGCATGCTATAGGATTGTTGTATGAACTTTATTATTTTTAACATCCTATTCCTTCCACTCGTAGCCCCTCTTGTGAGTTTTACTATGATGGGTTGTTGAATTTTGTCAAAGACATCTTCTGTGCTTATTGAAATAATCCTTTCTTTTGTCTGTGTAATGGATAATATTTATTGATTTACATATGTTGAACTATCACTATACATCTGGAATGAAGGCAAATTAGTGATGATGGATGATCTTTTTGACTTAATTAATCTCTTTAATTTGGGTTGCCAATATTTGTTGAGAATTTTTGCATGTGTGTTTACAGTATCTGTCTGTACATTTCATTTTATGTCGTATCTTTATATATGTTTTGGTGTCAGGGTGATACTGACTTTATAAAAGGAGTTTTGAAGTGTTCCTTCCTTTTCTATTTCATTGAATAATCTGAGTGTTTTGGAGTTAATTCTTTAAGTCGAGGGTAGAATTCATTGAGTCCATCTGGTCCTGGTTTTTTTTTAGTTGGTAGTCTTTTAATTACTGCTTTTGCCTTATCACTAGTTATGTATCTGCTTACATTATTTCATCTTGATTTAATTTATATGTTGAATACATCTAGAAATTAATCAGTTACTTTTAGATTTTCCAGTGTATTGAAATAGGGATTTTATGTTCTATTCATTATTTACTGAATTTCATTGAAACCTGTTTTAGCATCTCACTTTGCATTTCTAATTGTAGTAATGTGTATCTTTTCTGTTTATTTTGGCTAATGTAGCTATAGTTCTTCAGGCTTGATTAACTTTCCAAAGAAACAAACGTCTCTTTGTTTCACTAATTCTTTACATTGTTATTTTCATTTCTAGTTATTTGATTTCTGCCCTGATTTTGATTGTTTCAACTTGTTTACTGCTTTGGGACTTTGCTTGTTTTTCTTTTTCCGAGACTATAAGATGTATCCGTAAGGTCTAAGTTTAAGATCTTTGGTTCTTTTGCTGTTCTTTTTCTGTTAAGTTGATTTAGGTAAGGTTCTTCTTGGAAGAGAAAGCCTCAATTGAGAAGTCTCTGTCAGATTATCTTGTAGGTAAGTATGTAGGGCATATTTTTGATTAATGATAGCTGTAAGAGGGCCCAGCCTACTTGGTACTTGGGCAGGTAGTTCTTAGTTGTATAAGAAAGCAGGCTGAGCAAGTGTGGAGAGAAAGCCAGTGTTCCACCATGCTCTGCTTCAGTTTCTCCTTCCATGTTCCTGCCTTAGGTTTCTGCTCTGATTCCCGTAAAATGAAATACATCTTTTCTTTCCCAAATTGCTTTGGTCATGATGTAAATCATTTACTAAAGTTACTTTTGATCATTGTATTTATCACACATTAGTATTAAACTACTAAAAGTATTGTTAACTTTACTCTTACTGCTGCTTTTATTGTGCTCCATAAATTTATCTGTGTTTTGCTTTCATTTTCATTCAAGTCTAGGAGTTTTGTGTTATCTTCTTTTTATGTTTTTCAGGGATCCATTTATCATTAAATCATGTTTTGTTTAGTATACATGTGTTAATTTTTCTATTGTATAGTTATTCAATTGTGGTCCAATGGAATATCCAAGAATCTAAGAATATAGGATATTATTTTAATTTTCTGGTATTTGTTGAGACTTGCTATCTATCCTAATGAAGTGCTCAGTTTTGGAGAAATTTGAATGAAGTGCTGAGAAAAATGTGTATTGCTTAGTTTTTGGTTGAAATGGTCTTACATGTCTGTTTGGTTCATTTGATTTATTTTTGTCATGTAACTGCACTGTTTCTTTGTATAATTTTTGTTTGAATGAACTGTCTATTCCTGAGAGTAGTTGTTGAAATTGCATATTATATTTCTGTTGGGATGAAAACTGGATGCACCTATGTTTGATGTGTACCTGTTTAGAGTTGCAGTATTGTGAGGTCATCTTTTGGGTTATTTATTTAATAGAGACAAAGTATCACTATTTAGTTTGATTAGTTTTGGTGAAGTCTGTGTTGTTAGATTTTGTGCTTGTTTCTTGGCTATATTTTCTTGGAATACACTTTTACCCATCCTTTTACCTCGAAGTGTTTGTCATTGATGCTGAGGAGTGTTTCTTGAAGGCAGCAAAATGATGGATGTTGTATTCTTTTCTTTCTTTCTTTCTTTCTTTCTTTCTTTCTTTCTTTCTTTCTTTCTTTC